TATATATTGGATACGTAGCGGGTAGAGAAATTTTAATATTCTTATATTTTTCAGTCGCAACGTTTTGACTCGTTATTAGTCGGCAGTTATCCACAAATTGGTCACAAAAAGTCTTGGCAATATACATATATACGAGCACAAGACTCGGTTTCATTTCTTGTTTCTCGTATTAAAGTTCCATGGCACACAAGATCATTGTTCGTGAAATGCTTTTTTCTCTCTCTCTCTCTCGATGACGTTCAATTTTCATAGATAATAAAAAAAAAGAACACTTGTTAAATCATCGACTATCACGGAATTTTCGCCCCTTTCTTTTGGCAGCGTTTAACAACGATTGCTTCGAGAAATTTGGTAACGTTTACAAAATTCTTCGCCGTCAAGAGAGAAGATTCTTCCTCTCTCTCTCTCTCTTTCTCTTCTTTTTCTTCTTTTTCTTTCTTTTTTTAGAATTAATTTACTCCACGAGTTCTCGAGACATACAAAAAAAAAACAGAGCCTCCAGATGGATTGCTGGAGATCTAACAGTAAATACCATAAAACTCCATGGCACAATTGATGTGCGCCGGATGAAAATGACCATGCGGTACCAGGTGACTCTGCATGTGAGCTGTGTATCAGTCAGTTGGCGGCTCTAGATACGGTATTTCGCTAGTGACGTTGAACGACTCGAAATAGTGATTAAGGAACTCGAACGTGGGCCGCTTCTCGGGACTGGCGTCCCAGCATTGTAACATTAGTCGGTAAATGCTATCCGGCAGCGGGTGATTCAACGGCTTAGGCATTCGGTAGCCTTTATTGATCTGCTCGATCACTTCGCGACCCTGCATACCTGTCAAACAGTTATCTCTTAGTAAGTTCTTCGTCACGAAATTCAGTGGAAATAAGGAAAGCAAACTGGTATAACATCATTGAATTAACCCTCTGACCTCGGCAAACTTTTTTCGCATCATCTGCCAGCAGTTTATTTACGAAGCATCGTCGCTTCAGGTAAAATGGCACGGAATATTGGAAATAATCATTCAAATGGTATTTGACGGAACGAAAAAGCAAGCAATAATATACTAGAGTTAATGATGCATAGTATCAACCTTTGGAAAAGTAATATTCTCCGCCATTTGTTAAACTTTCGTAAGAAACAGTGAGAAGTGTATTAGTTTATGTGAATCAATCCAATGAGTGTCAATTGACTTCGGAAACTTCTTCTTTTGAAATACTTTATTATAGCATTTCACTCTAGACTGTTCAGATATTATATTATCATACGTTCGTTAAAATGATCAGCAAATTATAAGAAGAGGAGGTCCAGAGGTTGGCTCGAGTTCAAAGGGTTAATATAATTATTAATCAATATGATTATCAGACGGAATCTTACCAGGATAAGGAACTTGGCCATAAGTGAAAAGCTCCATCAGCAGCACACCGTAGGACCAGACGTCGCTCTTGATGCTGAATCTGCCGTAGACGATGGCCTCGGGTGCTGTCCACCTAACGGGGAACCGACTTCCCTGCTTAGGGCAGTACTCGTCGTCCTCGATCGCCCTGGCGAGGCCAAAGTCGCAGATCTTCGCCTTGTTCTTCTCGCCAATCAGCACGTTCCTCGCGGCGAGGTCTCTGTGTATCAGCTGTTTGCTCTCCAGGTGTTCCATGCCGGACGCCACTTGCGCGGCTATGTAGATCAGATCCTCGAACTGCATGTACTTGCCGTCACCTGTCCTCAGGAAGTCCAGCAGGCTGCCGTTGCACATGTACTCCTGCACGATGTAAATCGGCTCCTCCTTGGAGCAGATCGCATACAACGCGACCAAGTGTCTGTGCCGGAACTGCTTCATGATGGCCGCCTCCTGGAGGAACGCCTCCGTCGACATGGTCCCCGGTCGCAATGTCTTCACAGCCACTTCGATTTTGTTCCTCCATTTGCCGTAGTACACCTCGCCGAAATTGCCGTGGCCCAGCTTCCGTATCAGCTGGATCTCGTTCCTGTTGATCTCCCATTTGTCTCGCAACTCGGGCCCGAGGTCCCACATGTCCGGCTGCGGCTTCGGGCACGGCTTCGAGAGCACGTGACAGAGACCCAACGCGTTCTCTGCAACGGGTTCGTATATTTAGTTTGTATAACGGTATTCCAGATAAACGAGAGAACTTGTTACGACAAAATATTAAAATTGTCTCTGCGTAGAAAAAAAAAAAAAGAAGGGAAAATAGGAAACGTGACTTATCCCCTAGTATTTTTCACGGATGAAGTACAATACAGTGCAAACAATTTGATGGTAAAAAATTGCAGAGAGAGAGAGAGAGAGAGAGAGATTGAAATAAATCAGTGAAAATTCAGGGCGAAACTTACTGCTGTACGCCATAACGAGGGCGGGCAGGGTCGGGAATGTCTGGTTAGTGGCGATAAAGAATCCTCCATTGTCGAGCGGCTTAATTTTGTAGTGTTTTACATGATGGCCTCTCCCCTCCTCCCAGTCCTTCACGGATAAGCTGTATCCTCGTGGATTGTGCTCGCTGGGTCTCACCAGGAACGTTCCCCGTGGGTTCTCGTCCACCAGCAGAAGCTTGCCGGCTTCCTTGCGCGAGACGTTCTCGAAAAACCAACTGAAAGAGAAAAGAAACAGAGGGACAACGTCCGAGATTATTGTCAGAAAAAGGGGAGGAACGCAAGAGTGTAATAATTGTATAAACTGTTAATTGGAAGGCGATGAGAGAGACTCACTCCTCGCTCTCGACCGAACGCTCGACCGCCACGAAGTTCCACGGGATCAGGCCTTCTTGCAAAGTTGTCAAGTGTAGAACTTTCCACCAGTCGGGCTCCGAGTCGTCCAATACTTCCATCCGGTCGCCCTTTACGAAGCTCACGTCCGTGCTCTCGCGCGCGGTGTAATTGTACAGGGCCACCACGATCTTGTTCGACCTCTGCGAGTGCGCTGTTTCGAGGACAGAATCGAAACGTTACGACACACATGTCTGCGAGATGCCTTCGTTCGACGACCAAGGAATCGAGCCTTGAGAACGTTTGGCGAACATTTGAAATCATCGTTGCGAAATGAAACTTGCAACTCGAAGGGTAAAAATCGTCGATTTCCTCTCGATCAGCGAATATATATTCGCGTGTGAAATAAATATAGGAAGAATACGACTTTTCCCGCGAGAAATCTATTCTCTAATATAATCTGCGTATGAAGCTGAATTCGTGAGAGTATCCGTGTCAACAAACGGAACTGCTCGGAAGCTCAGGCAAAACATAAATCGCAGGCGCGGAGAACTTAAGGGGGAAAGCTCTTTCAGCCAGGGCTAAGTCAGCTGAAAGGAAAATAAAGTGAGAAAAAGAGGAATGAAAAGAAAATGAAAAAAATACACACATGCAGGCTTAACGACAGGTGAGCTTGTTTTACGGGGCTGGTGAGGAATTTGGAGCTTACAAGGTGTCGGCCTCGGTCGTATGATATCTGCCCTCGTTTGTACACCCCTCTGATTCGGGTCAGCTGTGTACCGGTCCAACGAGCCTCCATTACTGTGCTTCGAGCTCAGTCCTGTATCTGCTTTCTTGTAACCTGGATAACCAAGCCGAACATTTGTGTGACGCGTACCGAACGTGTGACAAAAGACGTTTCAGATCAGAAATTCAGAAAGACAGATCGCAGATCGACGGATCAGCGTCGCTTTGAAAAACGTTCGGTTGCACCTCTGTTGGTCAGAGACGGTACTTTCATTCGAACTGCTACAGTTTTATTATTTATCTCCGTCAGACGGAGAGATGAGACACTAAGGTGCTAAGATTTCAAAAGAGTTCTCATGCATTTTGCGATTAAGATTCAACGAACTCCTTCGAATGAAGAGACAGGAGAGCATCGGACAATTAGAGAGCCATTTTCCCGATCTGCCCCTGCACCGATCGTTTCGACAACTACGAATTATTCACTATTCTACCAGCTTTGATCGATCGATTAAAAGTAGGATTAACCTCGATTGAATACCGCGTCAAAGGGGATTTTTAATTCAAACCGAATCTCTCTCGTTTAACTCGCCATAATTGAACATCATCGATCACTCTCCCGAACACGATCAGATCTCACCTCCGTGTTTTTTTTTTTTTTTTTTGAAAGCATCCGAAGATGCTGGAGACTATCGTTCGAGAGGGGTTTCGAGAAAGGAGAGAAGAGAAAGGCAACTGACCGAGGGGTTGAGGCTCTTGCCGCTTGCTGCAACACTTGCCCATCTTGGATCACCACGTGCTCGATCCTCGTTTACCCCTTTCCAGATCCTGATTCTACGCGCCTTCGATGCTGACACGTGCCCCGAGGAAAGCCTCCATCTCGTCGTCGTGAACTCTCGGCAACTTGTAAAGCGTCACTTTCTCGCCATCGCGTGTTTATCGAATCCGCGCACCTGCAAACAAACCACCGTGAATATAATCGCGCCATGATCTGGCGCTCCTTCGAATAAGATCGACGTAGTCTTTTCGAATATCGCGCCTTTTTCCAGATTAACTACGACACTTAACTAGGGACTTTTATTTTAAAGTCGATCGCCCGGCGTCACATTCGACATTCACCGCTCGTCTCCACGTAGAATTTTAACATTTTTGAACGAGCATCGGCTACTATTACAGATTTCATTTAGACTCCATCAGTTCTGTAGTGATTTTCATTGCAGTCCGGACGATCGACGTTTGCTTAGACTTTAAAGGAAAAAATCAACCGAGTTCCTAGGGACTTTTGCTTCAAAGTCTAAGGAACTGTCGGCCCTCCGACGTCACATTCGACTTTTACCGCTCGTCTCCACGTAGAATTTTAACATTTTTCAACGAGCCATCGACTATCGATTATTATATGCAGCTTTCGCCTCGAATTCAATATTGCTCCGACTTTAGAATCTGCTGTCTCGACGTTAGAATTTTAACATTCTCAATCGTTATTGCAGATTTCTGTAATGACGTTTGCTTGTTGTCAGATCTTAAAGCAAAAGTCCCTAGTGTCAATCGTTATGACCTGAGAAAATTGTGAAATTTGTAAAAGATCGGCCAAATTGACGACTCGAACGAAATAGAGAGAGAGAGAGAGAGAGAGAGAATGGCATTTTGTAATCCTGACGTAACTGTCACGCGAGGAGGAGGAACCGAATTTCCTTTTCTTTCCGGCAGGGAAATTGCTTTCACCGGTGGTATCATCGATCACGTGATATTTAAAGAGAAGAGACGCCCGCGTTTCCTTGTTTCACCCTTTCTTTTTCCTTTTTCTTTTTTTTTTTTTTTTTTTCTCAACGTCGTGCATCTTGCTCGAGCGGAGGCTCGCGTGTTCCTTTTCGGTGCGAGGCAAATCAGACAGACGGCCTGTGTTTCCGAGTAACACGCTAAATTAGAACGAGCGCGACGGTGGGGCCCAGAGAATGCTAACTAGCCGATTGTTCTCGTTCGTAGACAACGCTCCCAAAGAGAAAAATACTTTCTCTCTCTTTCTCTCTCTCGCCTCGTTCGTTCGTTCGTTCGTTCGTTCGTTGAATACCTTTAATCCGTAATTAACATGCCGCGCGTGTTAATTATCCAATGATAAATGTTACGGATTAATTTTCCCGGCTGCTTATGAGTCATTAGCTTCTTCCCCTCATTCGTTTTCATTTCGAGCATTAATTGAAAATTTGTTTCGTCGTTATTGAATTTTTCGTATGCTTAGAGTGTGTCATTCAAGTGTTAACCTCCCCCAAATTTTTTATTGTTTTTTAACTGCGAGCATGCAAAAGATATCTTATATGTAATTTGAATGAATATTAAGTGGCCAATGTTGCCTTTTTCAGAGGTTGTTCTAAGTTTTCAATGTTTTTTTTTTTCGAATTTTTGTTTTTAATATTAAATATAATAATATTAGAGTATTATTATTTTTAAAAAAAAATACATATCCAGATGTGCACGGTGAGACGTTCGAGTAGCCATGAACCTCGAGAACGAAGGTTAAACTTAAAAATTCGTGTCTAGCTGTGAAAGACGACATTTCGAGCACAAAATGTTAGACAAAAGCAAGTGACAAATGCATGTCTTGCAAAATTTCACGAACCGAATCATCTGGAGCTTTCTTTCTTTCTGCTACGAACAAGCGTCCCTCTCTCAGTTATTATGAATTCTAAGTGTCAGAGTTCAAGGTCATTTGAGATTCAACAGAAAAAAAGAGAACCTGAAAAATTCGAAAAGAAAACGATCATTAAGAAAAAAAAAAAAAAAAAAAAAAAATTATAAAGAAATATTTTTCACGTCCTTGCGAATCAAACGAGACAATGTCAATTGTATTTCAAGGGTTCTTTTCTTTCTCCCTAAGTTTTCGAAATAACGAAATTTTTTCTTTCAATGTTAAATACGAGCAACGTAATAACATTAAAGTATTATTATTTTTAATAATCATGTATCTCGTAGTAGTTTATTAAAAAAGAAAAATACATTTTCCGACGTGCACTATGAATGTTCAAGTAAACCCTGAACCGAGAATGAAGATTAGAGAAAGAAGAAAGAGTGACAAATACTTTCGAAATTTCACCGTACTCGCTTAA